GATTTATCTATTAGTGTCATTGATATTTTGATATATTTGTACCATAATGTTGATAGTACTTAGGCTGTTTTTTTTTAATATATTTGTTATGCGATGATATTTGATTAGAATTAGAATTGGGTAGTTATACTGTAGGGTTGGTAGGTTTAAGACCAATTTTTTATACTTTATATAAATAATTTATATGATAACAATAATAAAAATCTATTTTTTATTTCTGGTCAAAAAACTTTATTATAAAAAATATGTAGTTTTTTTTTATAAATATTAATATAAATCTAATCAATGCATTAAATTTCATGCGTAATCATTTTGCTTGCTTGATCTTTATACATGATCATTGTGATTACTCGATCACTATTTAATCTTTATGTACAATCATTATGCGTAATTATTATACTTGCTTGATCACTATTTAACCTTTATGCACGATCGTTATACTTGCTTAATCTTTATGCGTGATTATTATACTTGCTTGCTTGATAGCTAGTAATCGTTATGCGCTGTAATCTTTATGCGTAGTCGCTAATTAAAGAAGTTATGTTAGTTTGATTATCATGCTGTTAATAATAACAACATGTAATATATAGTATATACAATCATTTTTATATGATTGTTGTATACTATTATGTAATAGCGTGTAATAACAAATAAAAAATGAATATATAAACAGAAAAACTGCACTTCTTAAAAAAACAGTATTAATAAATAAGATCATATTCATTTCTGTTTAACAAAATAAATAACTTGTAAAGTTTAAATTTGATAATCTACTAATTTACTTTCCTAATTTCAAACAATAGCGTCTACTACGAGTATGCGCATATCAGTGGTATGGCTATTTTTTGATCATCCTATTGAAGTTGAGAGTAAAAAAAAGCCAAATATAAGCTATGCTCGATAGATAATTATCTTGCTGTAAATAATAGTAGTACTTCCAATTTGCGTAGCTATATTACCAATATTCACAAAATTAACATCCCGAGCATTTTGAGTTCTGAAGAGTTAGCTGCTTTATTTTTTCAGTCCGGTGAATATCTTCTTAGAGAGACATTGGTCAAATGGATTATAAAAGATTGCCTTCTATTTACTACTGTTGAGTCAGAAAGTTTTCATAAATTATTTGAAGTAATTAGAAAATTAGAAGGTAAAATAACAATTTCATCTGCAAGAACAATTAAAAGAGATCTATTAGAACATTATTCGATATCAAAGGCTTCATTAAAAGAAATACTAGAAAATATCTCAAGTAAGATTTCTCTTACTACAGACATATGAACTAGTAATAGCTATAAGGCATTTATAGGAGTTACAGCCCACTAGCTCGATAATAATTGAGAAATTCAATCTCATATACTTGATCTCACGCTGTTCGAAGGACCGCATTCTGAAATAAATATAGCAAATGTTTTGATAAGTATTTGTGAAGACTTTGGTATTACTAAAAAATTTTTGGCATAACTGTTGACAATGCTTCTAATAATAATACATTCATCGAAGCATTCGAGTCTATTTCTCTGGAAATTAGTGGTTCTTTTACCCAGCAACAAGGCCATATTCATTGCATAGCTCATATTATAAATCTTGCTTTGCAAGATTTTTTGCATCAATTATATTCTGAA